AAACCCAATCAAGGACTTCTAATACTCAAATTAAAGCTACAAACATGTTCTAAAAGTTCCATGTTGGTCAAAGGTTGAGATGAAACTTGTATCTTGAGATAGGTGGTCTTGAAGTCAGGCACTAAATAGGGGATTTTATCCTGAGAACCCTAATTTAGTAACTTCTCACACACTTAACCCTTGATGAATTGAACTTGAAATGATGTCTCATATGTCTTAACACAACATCCCATGACCATAGAGACCTTGAATTAAGTTTTAATCTCCTTCAATTGCACAGTTGACTGAGGACTAGCCAAATGAAAACCCTAAGTACATCAACTTCAACTGCAACCCTTCACACTTGGCACAAACCCTTGGATGAGCTCCACAATGTCCCTCAAGGCACTCAATGAGCTCTCTCAACATCTCATCCATAACCATGACCCACATACATCCATCCTTTCTCTCATAAGACCATTGTCCATTCCTGATGACTTGATTACCATCTAAACTTGAGTAGAACCCCTTGCTTAGGCTCAACCCTTTGAGTAGACTCCTCTTGAGGTGCACAAACTCTTGATCCCTTGTTCAATGCAACATGTTATGCAATGCAAATGCTAGAAAGAAATGAAATGAAACATAAACCAAGTTAAGAAAAGGTTGGGCAAATTTTGGGGTGCAACACCGGGGACAATCAGTCAAAACCCTAGTTTTGAATGACTCTCTAGCGTATTCTCCAGAAAAGCCCACAGTCACCCCGGGGTCCCCAGCGGAACCACCGGGAACACCGCCAAAAATATTAAAAGGCACCAGTAGGGAGACAGTGACTTACGTGGTTTGACGGAAAAGAGCGGTCGTGTCAAGCAGAAAGACTGTAGGCATCGAGCAGAAAGACAGAAGGCGTCGAGCAGACAAATCAGAAGGTCGAACAACAGCAAAAGGAACGAATGAACAAAAAGACGAGTTGGGCCCACGTGTATATACGCCCTAGCACAAAAAACGAAGCGTCGTTAGGCACTCGAGTGCCTAGCCCGTAGCCTCCGTAGGGCGACATGTGGTAACCCCCAACCTTCGTTACATCCCTTCAGCTTCCCCCTCCTCGACCGTGGGCTTCCCCTTGTCCGACATAGTGACATGCTCGACGCTTTTTGCACCTTAAGTCATGGCTCGCTTGACTGCGAGCAACGACTTGGGGGACTAGTGTTCTGGACTGGGCCGACGCTTGGCCCATAGTCGAGCAGGCCCAAACTCCACCAGGTTGGAAGGCCTAATAAGACCTCATCGTCGGGCAGAGACCCGTCGAACAGAACATCTTCTCTCGTCGGGCACGAACCAACGGCAGTCGAGCAGGATCCTCATATCTTCATGACTCGCCTTTCTTATGCCCCATGGTCGGGCATAACCCATCCAGCTCAGGAAGCTCCTCTGACCTCCCCCACATTCTCAACGTGTCCCTTACGCGGAGACACGTCATCAGGTAACTATCTGTGTCCTGATTATTTGGTCCTCCACCTCCCAGATAGCACGGAACAGTTACAGTAGAGCGAAGACCACGTGATGGTCTTCACGGCGCCACGTCAGCCCTAGCAGTTACCAGCGTTGGGCCTGACAGCCCAGCCCAACGCATAGTAACTGTTGGCCTGTGCTAGGGGCTCATTATAAATACCCTATTCCACTAGAGGGTCAGGTAATCTAACTCTTACTCCTTTCTCTCTGTACTTGTTATCACTATGCTCGTCCCTTACTTTGGCATCAGAGTGTGTTTCAGGTACACACACACCCCCCCCCTCTGTCCATCAAGTCAACAGTTCAACAACTCAGACGCGTAGCCGGCCAGCGATCTCTCTGATCAGGTACGATCAAAAAGTAAAATTTGGTTGTTAATAATAACAAGGACATTTTTGAAAATTTAAAAATATGGGAGGTATCAGATAGAATATAGGAGGTGGCAAATTAAATTCTCTTTATTTGGCATTCACCAGTCCGAAACAATTTTAAGAGTGTAAAATAAATTTAGGGGATATTTTGATGCACCCTACGATTTAATAGGACATCTCGTGAAAAATCAAAAATACTTCCAGAATTTGAAGATAAATACACAACCCATTTGTTTTCTAGTCGCGCACTAATTTTATGATTAAATTTAATTCAAAAATACATTTTAAAATATCTCCAAAAATATATTTTCGAAAGCTACAAAAATTGATAGTTCAAGTAGTTCAGTATAATGTAAAGTGCTATAATAGCTTTTCCAACTACAAAAATCCGTGGTACCCCCTCCCTTTCACGTAAGTTTGGGTGACATGTTTTTTTCTTCTTAAAACAATTCATTGATAGAAGAATACAAAGTGTATTCTAAAAACAATTACAACAAGAAAGGAGTAAGAGTTTGAATAAGGAATTTCGCTACTACTTATTACAATCCAAAGGATTCGCGCAAAAGGTTAGAAAACTAGAGTTTGAATAAGGAATTTCGCCACTACATGTCCATCTCCAAGCAAAAAAATTTAACGATCCAACTTAAGTCATCGACATTGCAAGTACCCTCATTGAAAATAATTTTATTCTTTATCTTCCATATACTCCAAATGACTGCAAGCCAGATAATTCCCAACTTATGCTCTTTTACCCGGTTATATCCCACCTTACATCAATCCAATATAAAACTGCACTTACAACCTGCATATATCTTCCCATACCCACACCAGGTACCCTCTATCTCCTAAACAGAGCACGACACCCAACATTTAAATAATAAGTGCTCTAAGGTTTCAACTTCTTGACCACACAAGACACGCAAGCTATACAAATTTAACATTCCTCTCTTAACCAATTGATCCTTAGTAAGGATTCTATTCCAAATCGTCCTCCAACCAAAATACAAAATTCTTGTCAGAGCTCGAATCTTCCAAAAGCCAACAGAAGCACTAATCTGATCATCCGACAAAGAAACTTGGGGTCTTTGCTCCATCAAACCTTGATAGAAATCCTTGACACAAAATTTTTAATTTCATCTTTCTTCCATAACAATCTGTTAGTATGCTCAGTCGAAGGACAAGTAACACTAAGTGCAGCAAACAAATCCCTCGCCTGCTCTTGATTCTTGTCCAAATTTATTGCGGGATACTAAGATCGTTCCGCACTCAAACATTATCACACAAGTCCCACGTATCTGCTACGAAAACATCCTTGTGGCTGCTAAACAAAAACAACCACCGAACTGCTCAGCCAACGACACTAAGCCCGACCAAATGGCATTCCAAAAAGGAATCAGTTTTCCATCACCAATACTATACGACACCTTACCTGCAAAACTAGCATCCGAGTTAATCAAAGAGTTTCCAATCTTTAAAACATCCTTCCACCAATTGGATCCATAATTTTTGGATTTAAACCCAGCTTCATTCAACACAGTGTTCGATCCTACCGTATCTTGCAATTAAAACTCGTTTCCACAAAAAATTCTTATCTTCCAAAATTTTCCATCTCCATTTAGTTAAAAAAAGCTATATTGAACTCGTTTAAACTCTTAATGCCAAGCCCCCTGTAGCCTGCTACCGCACACCGAATCCCAATTTATCCAATGAATATTATTCTTCACTTCATTACCTCCCTAAAGAAAACGTCTTCAAATCCTATCGATCTTCCCGCAAATAGACGTCAATGCTTTATAGAAAGATATCCAAAACACTAACAAACTGGTGAGCAATGAATTTAATAAGGTAATTCTCCCAGCTAATTAGTGCACCTGCCCTTTCCAAACTGCCAGCTTTGAATTAATTTTTCAACCAGAGGATTCCACGTTTTGATTCATCTCAGATTGCTCCCAATTGGAATACCCAGAAAAGTAAAAGAAGGTTCTTCAATTTTACACGAGAGAAAGATTTTCGTTGCCTGTGAAGTGTGTCGACTAATGTTAATTCCAGTTAATATACTTTTATGAAAATTCACCACCAAACCTGAAACGAGGTCGAATCCCCTAAGGATAGCCTTTATAGTCAAGAAATTCCTCCAGCCGCCTCTCCCAACTATTAAAGTGTCATCTGCGAATTGAATTAACTCCACAAAAGTAACTTCATTCACATTAAACTCTTTATAAGCACCAGTTTCCACTGCCTTCTTGAACATCCATGCTAGCCCTTCCGCCACTATCACGAAAAGAAAAGGTGATAGCAGATCACCCTGGCATAAACCTCTTCTAATTCAAAGTCAAGAGTAAGGCTGACATTAACCAATATTGACAAATGACAATTGAAGATACACGCTTCCAATTAACTCCAAAACCCATTTTGTTCATCATAGCTCTCAAAACTCCCAATTAACACAATCATACGCCTTTTCAAAATCGACTTTGAATAAAACATACTCCTTGTCTCTCGTAGCTGCATCCACCACCTCATTAGCAATCAAAACCATATTCAGCATCTTTCTCCCTAACACAAACGCAGACTGACCATCTGAAATAAGACTGCCAATAACCAACTTAAGTGTATTAGCCAAAAGCTTTGCAATGATTTTGTAAAGACTGCTCACCAAAAAAATTGGCCTATAATCCCCCAAGTTTGTAGGATGCAAAACCTTAGGGATAAGAGTGAGGAAAGCCGAAGAAATATCTTTAGGCAGAAATGCTATTTTATGAAAATCCTGCACGAAATCAATAATTTTCTTCTTCATAAACGACCAACATTTCTTAATGAAGCCTAAATTATACTCGTCTGGCTCCGGACTTTTTTCACCATCACAACTCTAAACTACTGTCTTAATTTTCTCTTCTGAAAAATGTTCCTCCAAGGATTGCGCATCCATCAAAAATAAAGCTCTGAACTGAATTCCTTCCAAAGAAGGCATGCTCCTGTCAACTTCCTTAAATTTACAATTGAAAAAAATCACTGAGTCGCTCCCTCTTCTTCAATCACAGAGTCTACCCTCCCTGTTTCTACTTCACCAATGAACTTTCTTCTATTTCTCCCCTTTATGATATTATGAAAAAATTTAGAATTGAAGTCTCCCATTTTATTTCAATTCACCTTTGCCTTTTGTAACAACAAGTTATCTTTAAGATATAACTTCCTCCACATGGTTTTGCAAGCCAAGGCTCTCTTCTGCACCATATCCTCCTCCCCATTCCCATCAACAGAAAACAGGTTAAGATCCAACTCGTTAATTAAGTCCATGAGTTCATCTACCTTAAGATCAATCCACCCATAATTTTCCTTATTCCACTTCTTAAGGCTTCCCTTCAACATCTTCAATTTCTCTTTCACAATGAAATCACTTCTTCCCTCAACATAGATCTGCTTCCATTCCAACTCCACAAATTTCAAAAAACCTTTATCCGCAAACCAGCTGTCATTTGTTTTAAACGGTTTAGGGCCTCAATGAAACGAACACAACTTCAACCAAATCGGACAATGATTAGAATATCTTTCTTACCAATGGTTTGACCAACCACCCCCACCTATCAATAATAACATCAACCACCAAGAAGCGATCGATCTTGCTCACATAATTGTCATCCCCACTATACCAAGTGAACCGATTTCTAGAAGAAGACAGATCCACCAAATCCATGTCTATGATGAACTCGTTGAACTTTCCAATGTCAACATTCTTAGACACTGAAGCATTCCCCTTTCTTTCTGCTGGATCAGAAATTGCATTAAAATCCCCTCCCATGATCTAAGGACCATCTGACAACTTACTCTTTATATTGACCAACTCCTTCCACAAAATTTTTTTTGCACCTATACTACAACCTGAATACACATTCACCTAATAATAGATTTCCTTCTTCCAATAAAGTTTCAGACCAAAAAACCCCTCCCCTTTGAAAGAGTATATAGGAGAAACAAAATTCATATTCCACAAAGTAGTTATGCCCTCAGATAGACCTACAACATTATTACTAGACCACCCTACTTGTTTGGGTGACATGTGAAACACATTTTCTTCCATCAGCTATGTAATGTCATTGCTAAATCATTATTTCCTTGATTTACTAGTGTTGATATTTGAGTATATCAGGTGAAACTTTTCAGGAATGATCAACACCGTCTAAAAATTCTAGTGGACGGTGAGAATGAAGTCTTGCTCAAAGATTCAACAACACTTCCCCACATCTTGAACCACTTGAACTATCAATTTTTTCAACTTTCAAACTTTTTAAAAATGCATTATCAAATTAAATTTAGTGATAATATTAGAACATGGCTCGAAAACAAATAAAATGTATGAGTATGAGATGCGTCCGAAGATGCATCTCCAAATTTTAAAAGATATTTTTAGAATTAGATATGGTGTTATTCCACCATAATTTAATCTTAGTGTAGTTTAATATATATTGATTTTATTAAAGAAGAAAAAGAAACAAAGATTACTTGATTAGTATGTCACAGGAGAACATAATTAAATCCAGATTTTGTGACTGATTTCTCACATTGTCTTCTTTAACTGTGTCATACATTCTGTCCCAAAATAAAAATTGTCCCATATTAACCGAGTGTTATCAGTTTGCAAAATTCATGAGAAATATTCTAGTTTGATTTTCATTGATAAAAATATAATATCATTTTACTTTGCATTTTTATTTGTATATTTTGCCGTCATAAATATTAAATATTTAAATGACTAGATTTTATCAAATGTTTTTTAGTAACTTATCTTCCACCGACAATATATAGAAAATAAACTCTTCATTAGTAAAATATATACTAAAACCAATGCATTTTCTCCATGTTAACCAAAAAAAGTGCTTTTGATATATTATTTTTTTTGCTTTTGATAATTATAAATATAAAGATTTCTTTCAAGGAGGAGGAGCTAACTACTAGATATATTCCATTTTTTATTTTCGTCGAAGTAATGTACAGTCCTACTCCTGGTAATCCATGACCATGACTAAGGTCCTACAAATATATAGAGGATGGAAGCTGTAGAATTGAAGGTTGAAAGATGGGAAATCCACCGATCAGCCCATCACATGTTTAGATTAAGAAGATAGTTGCCATGCAACATACAACATGGACCAGTTAAACCAACCCCGCCAGCTTCAGCGCCCATTCTTCTCTCCATGCAAGTTACTAACCACTGGTTTTCAATCTGTGACATGGATTTAATTACTGCTTATAATTGTTTTTGGACATTGTCATCCTTTTGCCAAGAGATTGAGAATTTCATTGCCTAAACTGTCGGCTTCTGATGCAAGCTTAAGAGGAGTGTGGCCTTCTTTGTCTGCTACATGAGGATTGGCCCCCCTGTAAATGATCGACAACTCAGTAGATTTTCCCAAGTATACCAGAAAATATGAGCATAAAACAGTGTATGAGATAATGTATGAGGAAAATTTCCATCAAATCAGCTTAGGTTTGATATTTAAGTGCAACATTTATCATGGTATTGTGATAAACCAAATTCATGGTCAATTATAAACCGCATTAATTGGATGAGTTTTAATCCACTAGTATACAGTTTGCAAAAAAGAAACGTGGCAATAATGAATTAGAGACACTCTTTACTTCCGTAATAAAACAAGAAAAAGTGAAAGCACATTGCAACAGCAAAGTAGAAAAATGGTATCACTATTCAATAAATTTAAAAATAACAGAACTAAATCATCTAAAAATCGTTTTCTAGCATCTCCAAGTTAAGTTTTTGGCTTATGCTTCCTAGCAAGTTAGATGTATCTTAGTAGACCTCAAATTACTAAAATATATGTTAGGTGTAAGTATAAGGCCTAATTAATTAGATTCAAATTATATAATTGTTAATGTATTCAAGTAAAATAAAGAATAATAGAATCTCTAATTTGATCTGTTGATGGTTTGGTTTGAGAGAGATTAAACTCTCTAATCGTATTGATTGTATTTAACTATATTATTAATGTGTATTATTCGGTTTAATTACAATAAAATATTATATTAATGTGTATTATTCGGTTTAATTACAATAAAATATTATATTCATGTGTATTGTAATTCATTTATCCTAAGTTTTATTCACAATCTATAATTCATATTAGAGACAGTGATCTTTGGCACTAGTTCATAGTCTACGCACGTCACATAAATGAAAGCATAATTGGAGTTTTTAGAAAGGTCATGTGAAAGTTTTGTCAAAACCAGAGAAGAGATTCAAGAAATGCGCAATCTGATTGAAACAAAAAAATATGAATCGCATCACTGAATTGACAAACTATTAGAAATTGTCTGTGGTCTCACCATCCGAAATGACAATCTAGGCTGTGGTACCTCTGTTTAGACATAATCTCTAAACCTCTGATGAAAAATAAAGGAAACTTATGATTTTCATCTTTGAGTATGAAGATGTTTTTGTGTGGATTAACCGTATAGAACAGTATTTTTATTTAAGGGATGTTACTAATGAAGAAAAGGTACAGGCTGCTATGATAGCCATGAAAGAAAAAACACTCATTTGGTATCAATGGTGGGAACTTTGTTCCCCTACACCATATTGGAATGATTTCATGTCTGGTTTGGTTAAATTCTTTCAATCGTCAATGCTTTAAAGTTCTTATGAACGGCTCCTCAATCGTAAACAAGTTTGGTGGAAGAGTATCGTGACAGGTTTGAATTGGATGTTGACTCGCTTAGAAGTGCACAGCCGAGATAGAGAGTGGGGATCTAAAGGGAATTTCCTAAAATAAGGACGTACTCATGTTGCTGCTATTGGCAAAAAGTGAAGGGAATAAATCTGCTGAACTGACCCATTTCAATCCCGAGAAAATTGAAAAGATGAAGACTTTTGAGCAAATTGGAAAAATTAGTTGCTGCCTCATGTTCTTTACAATATTCCGGTAAGCATTTATCTTTTAATTACGGTAACTACCATTTTTTTTTTGGTTTAAATATCTCAGGTACATCTTCTAAAACTTTTTGGATACTAGACTCTGGAGCCATTGATCACATAACACCTTTACTTAAACACTTTTCAACTGATTCTCCATATCCCAGCAATAAGAAAATTGCCACTGCTGATGACACTCTTATAACCGTTGCTGGTCAAGGAGATGTCCATATTAACCATTCAATAACCCTAAAAAGTTATCTATGAACCTGGTCTCAATACAAAAACTTACACAAGATTTGTCATGTAATGTTATTTGTCATAACAATGATTGTGTGTTGCAGGACAAGATTTCAGAGAGGACTATTAGACATGCTAGAGAATGAAATGACCTTTATTATCTAAAAGAACCTAACTTGTCTTCTGAAAAAGACTTACCTTCTTCATTTACCTTCTTCACTTGTATCAGTGATGACAAATAAAGAAAAAGTCCTACTTTACCATTGTCGCTTAGAACATCCTTCATTTCAAGTCATAAAATTGTTATTTCCCTTTCTATTATCTAAGTTAGATGTTGAGAGTCTTTATGTGAGGTGTGTGAGCTTGCTAAACATAAGCGTGTATCCTTTCTAATAATTAATAAAATGAGTACTTTTCCTTTTTATCATGTTCATATTGATGTATGGGGTCCCTCTAATGTGCCAAATGTGTCTGGTGCTAAGTGGTTTATAACTTCTATAAATGATTGCACTTGTGTCACATGGGTTTTTTTCCTTCTTAAACACAAATATGAGGTCAGCTCAACCTTTTTGAATTTTTATTTCATGATAAAAAATCAATTTGGTGTTAACATAAGAGACTTATATCAGATAATGCCAAAGATTATTTCAATAATCCACTTAATTCATTTTGTCAAAAATAGGGTATTATCCATGAGTTTTCTTGTGTTAAAACACCGTAACAAAATGGGGACATTCTTAATGACCCGAACATTTTTATTTCAAAATAATGTTCCAAAAATCTTTTAAGGAGAAACTGTCCTCGCTGCAACCCACCTTATTAATAGGCTACCTACTAGAGTTTTAGAATTAATTAAAGAGTCATATGGATGTCCTATCCTCATTTTATCCAAAGCTGTCCACAACAAATGATCTTAAACTAAGAATATTTGGGTGTGCTTCCTTTGTTCATACTCATAGTTCAGAAAGGGGAAACTTGACCCTAGAGTTCTTAAGTGTATCTTTGTAGATATTCTTCCAGTCAAAATGTTAAAAAAACTATGTGTCTGGAGATGTAATTTTCAATGAATATGAGAATTATTTCTGTAACTCTCATCTTGGTGGGTGGGGTGGGGTGGGGTGGGGGGGTTGTTAAACCTGAAAATGCTTATGTCTGATTTGAAAAAAATCTTATTGTTTTGCACATATGCATGTTGAAGAGTCCACCCAAAATCAAGATCCTAACAAGGTAACTCTTCCTAATTCCCTTTTAATTCTTAATCTACTAACTGAACCTGAAGAAACTGAGAAAATAAATGAAGATGACCTGCCTATAGCCATTAGGAAAAAAGCCAGAGAATGTACCCACTTTCCCCTCTTTCAAATTACTTATCCTTTAGAAACTTTTCACCTACCCATAAAGCTTTTCTTACTAACCTAAATAATACCTTTACACCTACTACCATATCTGAGGCATTATCTGTAGAAAATGGAAGCAGACCATGAATTTAAAGATGGAAGCTTTAGAAAAGTTTGATACGTGGGAGTTGGTGTCTTTACCAATAGGGAATAAACCAGTTGGATGTAGATGGGTGTATACAATAAAATACAAAGTTGATGGCTCAATCGAAAGACATAAGGCAAGGTTAGTGGCTA